AAGAAGCATGGAAAAATTGGACGTAGGTAAGGTGAGCGAGAAGTTAAAGCTGATTAATAAGCAGACGTACACAAGAAACAGCGAGTAAACAGGGAATGTAGAAATTATAAGGTAACAAGCGACGGATTATAATTATCTCGGTATTTTCCATAAAAATTATGACGTTAACATTGAGCACAAGCTTGATGTTTCTTTCTTTGAAGGAAATAGAAAATAAAACTCTTGCCTTTGCGTTTCGTCTTGGCTTATCGATTTCTCAAAACGAAGTAGATTAACGCTCGCTGCCGGATCCGCAAAGTCTTTGATTCTGCGCGATTTCCTGGTAATATGGTAAATACCGATAGATGTAATTCAACTGATATCGATTGCGTTTGTCTTTCATTCTTTTCTTGTCGTTTTTATTCATATATATATATATATACAAAAAGAAAAGAAAGTAACATAAATTTAAGTGTGTTTGTCTCTTCTACGAAGCAGGGAAAAAGAAAAATATTAGTTACGAAATTCGGTGCAGAATATTTAAAGTGAGTTGTGCTACTAAAAGAGAATATGTAAGGAAATTTTTTTAAGAAAAGATAAATACTCACGACTCGCCAAGATTCCTAGACGTCGTGTTACCTGTAAATAATCGAAAAAAAAAACAGATTTCGTTTAATCAGATCGAATAACACGAGCGTTAATAAAATTTTCAATTCCCGATTGTAACTATTTACTTATAATCGATCGATTATTCGAAGTTATTATCGAACGATAGATCGATGAAAGAATTGAAAATTAAGCTTTTGAACGCAGCTGCTGTGACGGGATGGCATATTCTCGTGTACGTTCTATATATGTATTTAAAACAAATGTTTTATTTCAAAAATCATATAATACCTAAGTTATAATATCATAGCGATGAATGAACTTACAATTAATTACATACAGCTCTTCTATATATTAATTTCATTTGAATTCTTAATTAAATTTACTCTTGCCTATTGCGTTGTATCTACAATTACAGATACAAAATGTTCATGTTCATTTTCTTTTCGTGTTCGTTCCTTACGTGGTCGTAGTGTGTACGTGTATACATGCTGTGTGGGTGTATATGTGTGTAGATGCCGCGTGCACGAACACGCGTTATTCGTTATTTCACTTATCGACCGTATATAATAACATTCAAAACTTCATTCATTTTTTTTTTCTTCTTCGTTTTCGTAGTTTTTCTTCTTCGTTTTGTCAAACGGTGATTTGATCCATCTTTCTTTTTTTTTCTCTTTTTTTTCTCCCCTATTCAATTTTTTTTTTTTTTTTTTCCTT